ATACGTTTTTTTTTCCAGTGTGGGGCTCAGGAAAAATTTAAGAGCATCTTCGGACATTCTCCTAAAATTTGCCAAATAGACTTGAAATAAAATCGCGACACTGTAAGAGCCCATTTATGCACGCGATTTTTGTCGCCGTGTCGCCGGCGACAACGAATCGCGCGATTTCAAACTACACGGGAGGCTATGGAGCCCTTTATGCAAGCGACAGCAAATCGCGGCGGCAAAACTGCCGCGGCGATTTCTAGATCATGTCGCTCGTAGTTAGAAACCGCCCGGCGATTTTCTGCCGCCCGCGGTTTGTAACTACACGGAGTCATATGAGCGCATTTATGCGCGCGACAAGTTTCGGCGACCGCCGCTTGGAATTGAACTTCTTGAGCACGTGTTTTGGACCTTTTGCACTCCAGAAAAACGGTGTCGCGGCGGCAGAAAAAAGGTGCCGCGGCGACAAAAATATGGATCGCGCGATTCCAAAAAATGTCGCGGCGACAACTGCCGCCGGCGACACGGCGACACGAATCGCGTGCATAAATGGGCTCTTAGAGCAGGAAAACTGCCATGACTAATTTTTCTTGAAAAAGTAATCATACTCAAAGTTTAGATAAGGAAGGCGACCCTGACATAAAGCAAGGTGTCAACTAAAACTGACTGGCAAAAATATACTAAACTGGCTGGCTGGAATAGTACTTTCCCAAACAGTTCAGTATGGCTTCTCATCATAGAAATCAGTGCTTTTATAGTCCTTCAAAAATAATTTAGGCACGAATTGCGTTAAAAATGACATAGCAAAGAAATTCGAAGCTTATTGGTGATCTGAGAATCGACTGGCTGCACGATAGCGATCTGGCGAGTAAACATACTGCACTGAAAATCAATGTACAAGGAAGTGAATGCATTCAAGACTGTCTTAAAAAAACACGAGTGGCATGATAAGAAAAATACCGAAACTTTAGGCAAAATAAATTTCCGCACTTCTTCAGTGCTTCCGGACCGCCCTCTAAAAATCAGTAAAATTTCCGGACTTTAAGGACCAAAAGATACCCTGCCTAACGTTGCAATCTTCATCGCAGTTGAAATGTCCCGTCGCGCAACTAGTCGTTCAAAAACACTCGAAAATTTCGGCGAAACCTAAGTCTTTCTGCCTCCACTCGGGAAGAAAAATAAAAATAATAAAAAAAAAAAACCGCGAGTGCCACAGTTCCGACAGTGTCTTCGAGGCCCTCCCTTACGTCATCAATTTTAAATTAACTCTATTCAAAAGTTCAATTAGGATTCGACTGCACACTGGCTACGTGCGGTTCGTAAACTGCCGTGCCGAGGAAAAACGCCGTATGAACCTTTAGACGTTGCCAAATTTCCTTCGGTAAATCACCGATTACAGGGAAAATTTGTGAATATTTTTTATTATTATTTTTTCGAATTTTTTTAGGTAATTTTGTTCGCAATTTCACTTGAAGTTCCTTAAAATTTCGATCAAAAATATTCATATATTTCCTCCGGAATAAACATTTTATTGAAGGAAATTTGGCAACTCTCGTAGGTTCATACGGCGTTTTTTTCTCAGCACGGCAGTAAAGCCCGTAAACTCTTGAGAAATCAAGCGGACGACTCCTTTACATAACGCGGAGATTCTCCACGAAGCCCCCCCCCCCTCGCTTCCTCGCCTAGCCCTCCTACGATTAACACTATTTGGAGAGAGCTTAAATTATTCGAGCGTGTACCCTCCCCGCGCCTCCTTATCTCCATTTTTATATCAACTTAACTCCACGTTTGATTCGAATAGAAGCCATATCGGTCGTTACAAAGTAAGTGCCTCCTCGATGAGAGGCGAGTGAAAGAAAAAACAAAGGAGGAGAGGAGGAGTGGGCGGGGGGAGATAGTCAAGATCGACAATGTTGTGCAATTAATATTGTAATTTACTGTAATTGCTCCCGAGGTTTCTTGCGCGAATGCGACTCGGCTGCCAGCCGCGGTCTTGCCGGGGAATTTTCAGCTGGATGCTTCAACTTCAAATTCGTCCACGGAGCTGAAACCAAGTGAGCGCATCACACGTGAATCCAGGGGCGTAGACAGGGGGGGGGTTGTTTCCAGGGGGTTTGCCCCCTCCCCTTTAGCCTTGCTAATTGTACCTTTTTTTACTTTTGGAGGACAGACATAAAATATTATCAGGGACGTACACAAAAGAATGTGAATTCACCGTCACGTTTTTGAATGGACCCCCCTCCCCCTCTTAAAGAATTTCTAGCTACGCCACTGCGTGCATCTGTTGTTTTAAGGAGAGTCATGAGTCTCCATCTTCACGCTGAAAAATTTAAGTACTTAAGTACTGATGTTGAGTGAGGTACACTTTTCTAAGTTTTACCTGATAGATTTTCACATTGATTTTTTTTAGATTACTTACTCTTTTCACCGGCTCTAAACGAGAGGATTTATAAAAATTCGAGAACTGAAATTTTTTTGAGTTCAGGGGAAAAAAGTCGCACATAGGACCTTTTGCCTTTCAGACTGATTTTTTTTTTCTTGAAGAGTAGTTAGAGAAAACCGTCTCGTCTGTGGGTGCCTACCTAGTTGCGAAAAGGAAATTTAAAAAAAAGAAAAAAAAAAAAATACACCAATATAATTTTTAAAAATATATCTCCGTAGGAGATCCTGAGGAGAGTGCAACTTAGGGTTAAAATCGTATTTTAGAGAAAAACCGTTTGAAGTTTTGGATTCGCACGGGAATGACGTTATATGGGTGCCGAATTATATTTCTCTCTTCGCATAACTAATGAAATATGGTAACGCTCAGATTTTTGAAGAAAACTTTGTCTTGAATTACAGCTGAGAATGTAAAATTTGATTCGACAACTGACTGAAGAATGAAGGGGGTGAGGGGAGGGGGATTGACTGAAATGACTCATGACTTCCTTCAAAACTGAACACGTCCGCTTCCTGATGAGCAGTGTGTTTCCTCGGAATGTATATGTATGAAAGGGTCCATCGGACAAAAATATGACCACCTTTGACGATGCAGATTGCTTGTGAGTAACATTTAATTTTAGAATTATAGGAAAACCGATGAACGTTGTTTCTTGGAAGTTTTGCTGGTTTTAAATAATCCTTACTAGGCTACCTAATCCGTGCTTAGAAACTTCAGAGAGTAACGTCTACTTATTACTTAGTGTGTCAGTTTGAAAATAAAAATAAAAAACAGCGGAAATTTGGAAACATAGTGCTCGATGGATGCATGCGGAGACAGTGTCCATTATGCGTTACGTTAGAACAAAAAGATATTGAAGTAAGTGAGTTCGTGAAGCTTTAAAAAAGGAGAGGAAAGGAAGTAATAAAAGTACTTAAGCAATTTTGGTAAAAGAAAAAAAGATGGGCTTGAGAAACAAGGAGCTTAGAGACAGTTCTTACTACTTCGAGAAATATGTGTTATTAAAGCCTCAAAATTATATGGAGCCCTGTGCGAAATGTAGGTTCAATCTCACATTTGGATGCTCGAAATTTTCATTTTCCTAATGAATTTTGCACGGGATATACCTCAGGACTCCTTCCGGTTGAAATCACTAAGTAATGTCACAACATTTTCGGACTGCAATTATGCGCCTATTCTCTCAATCAATAACTACATGATTAAGAAAAAGTGAATAGGAAAAAACGTCGATGCAAAATTAGCAGACAGATTATTTTCTTCTAGTTCGTTCGACCATTGCAATTCATCAGAAAAAATCGACTGATTTACAAGGAATTATAAGTACAAGGGCATGCCTAAGGACTCGCGGAAAACTTTTGCGAAAATAATAGCCTACGCGAGAAATTACGTAAGGTTCACCGAGAAAAAGTGAAAAATACTACGACGTAAGGAATGCAAAGCAGAACAAAGAAGCGTTTAATCGCAACATCACTGACGTATTATTCAATCGATGCACGCCACCCTGAAAAAATTCTATTCGAAGAGGTGAAAAGAAGTTAGTCAAAGAAATGTTGAATAAAATAAAATAAAAAAGTACCTTCATAGAAAAGCGTCTTTCCACATAGTGCCACTGACTTTCGGTTACCATCAAGATGAATCTCAATATTTCTTAAAAAAATATTAACGCTTTGACTACCTAGAGAAATCGATAGTGATCCATAATCTCAATAGGAATACTTAAGCACGTAAAAAAAATGTTGATATCGATGTATCAACAAAGCATATTTTTGAAAACCAGAGTATGTATTACTAAAATCGTCGGAAAATATACAAATAGGTACTTCGGTTTCAATTATTAATCCTTACTTGAAGAGTCTAATATGCAATTGCTTGCTGAGAACTACTGAGAACGAAAATCCACAGTCTAAATCCACCTGTAAGTCTACATGAAAAATCGTCTCAGAAAGAGATACCTAAGCCTGCCATTATTCAGACTACAACTTACAATTAGGAACAAAAATGTCTGGCTCATGTTAGGAGCAGCATAGTTATGTGCCATTGGTTTCCTTGTTCAGATATGTACTTTACGGATGAGCCAAGAATAGCAGTTCCTTAATGCAAATTACAGTCCATTATAGAAAGCCTGGAAGGTAGGGCCTAAGCTACCGACTCGAAAGTTGAAAATGTGCTGACATCGCTGATTGAAAAATGTAAGTAAATTAATGAGTGAACGGTCAAATAGTTTTGTTATGAAAATGGAGTGGACAATATAGATCTAAATAATGAAATCTGACAAGAAGAAGAGTGAAGGGGATTGGTAAGCGCATCGAAACTTATGCTGGTGAAAAGCAAAGCAACAGGTGGATCCCCCGGGGAAACAGCTTCACAGGGAAGCAGCGAAGCCGTCACCGCCGACTACATAAACACGTTGAAACTTGTCACGAGATGCAAGCAGTGACGCGACCGACTGAACAGCCAAAAATAATCAGGTTGAAGATTACAAAGCAAATATTTTGGGGAATTAGTGCAAAACATGAATGAGTAAAGGGCAGAAAAGACTAATGAGTAAGCGTATGACAAAGATTTATTTACCAACCTCAAAAAGATAATTGTCGAAGTCCGACATACTGGATTTTGATACGATATCAATTGTAGACATAATTCCAAATAGGGTTGAACTTGAAGCGGGTTTACGAACAATTTCCGAACAGAAACCAAAAGAAAATTTCTTGCCAAATATTAAAAATAAACAAGAACTAATCACTTCACTTTAATTTCAACACAAACAGCGCGAAAAACTAATTGTGAAAAACTATAAATTTTTCTACAACCGAAGGCAACAATGAATAATAATCACACCAAAATTGATTTTCTTCACGATCGATGAAATAAAATCACTATGGGTAAACGGTGTATTAATCACTAAGTTTTCCTTCGTGTGAAACAAAATAATCGCGCGACGCGGTACGGTATGCTGCTCGTCAAGCTACCAATGTGCAACTAAACATAGGACATAGGAACTCGCACGAGGTTCGAGCGCTAACCCAGTGACTTACAGAATTGCCGTACATCACCGCTAGGGGCGTGGCTATCCAGCAGCACCACAGCCGCGGACGGGTTAAAAATCTCTCAAGGTTATTACAGATCACTCTCTCCCCAAGGCCCTCCGTCACTTTTGATTTCTTGACGAAAACATCAGATTACATTGGCTTCCTTACTTCATCCAAGAGCGTCGTTTTCACTCGCGAGAATTACACCCACTTCCACAATTAGTTAATTTTGAAAGTCATTAAGTCCCAAAATAATGCTTGTTCGCTCACTCACTTCCCTTCTCAACTCATCGTTCAAGTGTCACTCGTCCTCGCTGACCCGTTGACATGCAAATTTGCCTCCTCCACTTTAGAAAACAAAGCCGTGTTAGTGGACACTCATTGTCACAGCTCGAGGTAGCTAGCTTGAAAGATCCGTGACATTAGTCGGAACTCCTTTGACTTCGAATTTTTACAGTAACTACTAGAGCCAAAGGCAGTTTTCAGATTTCGCCCGCAAAATCGACTGTATGCAACCCGGCCCACCTCGGAGTTTAAATAGTTGTATGTTGGGTTCGAACCCAACTTCGAATATTCCTACATTGTTTTGCGCTCCGCGCATTATTCAAGTGCCGAGTTTATATTTCGGAAATGCATCTCAGTTGGTTTATATCGCGTTATTTGCTCGTAAATTTTTCTCGTATTTTTTTTTTTTCGTATTTTTCTCTGCCAACTGAGGACTGAGGAGCCTAGAGGAAGCTTTGCGGGATGTACTGATATTCTCAGATGATTCCAATTTCAGAGGGGGTAGTGGAAAATGATGAAATAAATTTTAAACTGAAAATCGTGTTACTTGAGTTAGTTTTTCGACGGAGTGGGATAAAATTTTTTTCCGCTCCACTTAGAAGTGACGAGAGCCTAAAATATTAGTCCCTTATCGGAAAAGATAGTGCGATTGGTCAATTTTCTTCTGATAATCATATCATTGTGATTGAAATTTTTTTGCCGATTGCAATTTCTTCGAAATTTCTCAATAATTCTCATCGCGACACATATCTCCGCGGGCTCCCTAGTATTTATAAAAATCCAAATTCAAAAGTAAATTGAGAAGAAAATTTATAAACAAAAATAATAAAAATAATCTTGCGCGAAAAATGACAATACTTTCGTCTGCGAGGAGACGCATGAGATTCAAATGTCCATAATGAGCCGTAGAAACGGCATCCTGTCAAGCATTTTAAGTCATTTAAATTTTAGGTCCGACAATAAACTTCTCGAGCAGAAGTAAGTAAAGTTTCCAATCGCGATAAAATGAAAATGACAAATTAAATGACATGGTAATCACACAGCCGAGATCACTCACGCCTCAAGCAATTTTTTTCACGGCCTTCAATATTTAAAATTCTCGAGTTACACCCATGACAGAATCATCATCATCGGATCGCATTCCCTCGCTCCTCAGTGTCGCCACGCTTTCCTCATAGAATTTTCTTGCTCTGCCGTGCTGGAAAAAAAACGCCGCAAGAACCCTCAGGCGTTGCCAAATTTCCGTCAATAGGATAAATATTTTGAAGAAAATACAGCAAAGCCTCGATTATTCGCTGTTTCCTCGGTGGCTTTGGCCCGTAAACGCTACAATTTTATGACGGAAACTTTATAAAAAAAAAAAAAAAAAAAAACTCCTTCAGAAATGATGTTTGCAGAGAAAATTTATTTTTGGTAAAATTCCCTTATTTTTAACAAATTTTTACATTTATGACTATTATTTTACAAAGTCTTGATAGATCCTTTTAAAATAAAGCCTTTTCGATCCTGTCTCCTGGCCATAAGCTGTGTTCGACGTATCTGCGAGTTTCGATTACCGCGTTTAATCGAGACCCCACGTTAGAATCGATAAAAACTCAACATAGCGTTTTTGATACCAGAACCTAGAATATCCAAAAATACCTAAAAATATCACATAAAATCGAAGTTATTTCGGTATGAAGTTTGCGTCTCAAAAAATGTAGTTTCGAAAAATACGCATGGGTGTACTCTACGGTCTATGCTGCCATATTCTTTTGTAATTTTTTTTCATTTTAGCAGTGGCGCGGCGTGAATTGCGATGTATCGATTGTTCTGCCATTTGAACCTATGGTAAAGAATCGATTATTAAGGTGTTCGCTTCTAACACCCTGCTTATCGATCCTTTCCCATGGGTTTAAATGGCATAACAATCGATATATCGCAAAGCACTCCACGCCACTGCATTTTAGCCGACTTCAAGACCAAATGGAATCTTAAAATTTCACTTGTCCCATCCAAAATTGTACAGCTGAGGACTAACAATAAAATTTACATCACTGCTCACAATCAGTGGCGAGGCGTGAATGATCGATCATAGACATTTCCCCCTTCGAGACTTTGATAAAGAACCTATTATTGAGGTGTTCTTTGCGAACACCCTTATCGATCCTTTTCCATAGTTTTTAAATGACAGACCAATCAATACATCGCAAAGCACGCCACGCCACTGTCACCGTTGATTGCCGCATGGGTAAAAATATTCAAAAGTCCTCCCAAAAAAAAAAAAATCGTACCTCCTTGGAAAATAATTTTGGCGACGTTCGAATTCTCACACGTAGTTTTCCCATGTTTTACATTCCTCCTCCTGGAGAATGGGGGAATTTTCCGGAAACAAGGCAACGCTGCCAGCCACCCCCGCTTCTCCCCTACCCTGTTGGCCGTTTGTCTTCCAATCCGTCGCCTCTCCGATGTAAGAGCCTAACTGATTTCAGGAATGAGACCTCTCGTCCTATTAACTCAGTCAGTGGCGTGGCGTGAATTGCGATGTATCGATTGTTATGCCATTTAAACCTATGGTAAAGAATCGATAATTAAGGTGTTCGCTGCGAACACCCTGCTTATCGATCCTTTTCCATAGGTTTAAATTGCTAACAATCGGTACATCGCAATTCACGCCACGCCACTGGTAACTCAGTGTTTTCCACGGCTCACGCGGAAATGGAGATGCGCGCTTTTGTGAAAGGAGCGACGAATTAGCCTCAGCTTAGCGTGTAAATGTGACTGATCGCCGGCCCATTATGTCTTCTTGCATCATTACGGAATACCTGTAAAAAGCGGCTCTTTCCTTTTTGAGCGCAGCTCGCATTCCGCCATCGTATTCAGCTCATTTTATTTTCGAGTCGTATCGGCGCGAGGCTTGAACAGTTGAACTTGCAACTTTGATGACTCGTAAACTCCCGTGCTAAGGAAGAACGTCGTATGAACTTCCGAGAGTTGCCAAATTTCCCTGGATAAAAATGTATTTTTGACGAAATCTATAGAATATTTTTCTTCAAAATTTTCAGATGTGTTGGATTCAATTGCGAACAAAATATGACCAAAAATTGGGGGAAAAATGTTTGCAATTTCCCCAGTAAATTCGTATCTTATCAGAGGAAATTTGGCAGCGCCTGGAGGTTCATACGGCGTTTTCCCTTAGCACGGCAGTAAACCTCCGTGGTCTGACTCTAGTGTCTTTTCCGCGTTCTTTGCACTTTACGCTCTTGTGGACGGACTTTGCGTCCCTGACTTTGGGAGAGGCTCAAACGCTCGCGGAACCCTTTAGGGAACGTCTCTAAATTACGTAACGCTCTTGGGAGGAGGGGCGTCAAGAAAAGCGTTACGCCATTTTATTTTTACGTGGTGAAGAATAGGGGTCTACATCACGAAAGCGTTACAAGGGGGGGAGGGGGTCAAAAATGCCGAAAAAAAGCGTTACACTGGAAAAAAAAACACACATTGGATCTACAGTCCAGACTCTTGAAAACATTTACAAGAAAAAATACTCTTGATTCAATCAGATTTAAGCTTAAATCAAAAGGAAATCCGCTCAAATTAAGAGGCTGGATTCTTGATTTAAGCTTAAATCTGATTGAAACAAGAGTATTTTTTTTGTCGATGTTTTTAAGAGTCTGGACTCTGGATCCAATTTGTTTTTTTTTTTCCAGTGTACGTAATATACCGACGGCCGGCCCCTTACCCTTAAGGACAGTCTATAAATCGGCGTTTCCCGAACGAAAGAACCTAACTTTATTCAAATGCCGTTCCTTAGACAAGATTAAGAAAGTTGGTAATTAAGAGAGGGCTAATGTTTAAGGAAGCCGTTAAAACAGCATCATAAAAATGACCATTTTTGCTAACATCCAGTAAAATTCGGTCGAATGTCTTTGGAAATGAAGCCTGGCAAGGGGTTGCAATGATTCACCATTGCTCAAAGTACAAAATACGGAAGAAAAAATTCTATGGTTTTGACAAACTTTGAGGTACCTTAACATGTACAAACTTGCGATGTAAACCATGTGACTTCCTAAGGAAAGAGCTGTTTTTGGAGACGACTTTGATTACGATTCTAAATTTAGAGACTTTCACTGTTGTAGAAGTTTCCCAGTAAGCTGCCCTTGTGAGTGCCCAGTAGCGCTGTAAGTTCGCCTTCAATTTTGAGTGATACTGTGCCACGTACGGGGTGATCGAATAGTAGCCTCGCGTTCATGTAGGGGTAGGCACCCTAAATAAAGGAAGCAATCATTTCCATGGTGCATGGTCGTTCCTTTAAATTCAGCGACCTTACGAACGTTATGTACAAACCACGTAATACGATTCCTTTTGTATTTTGTACTTTTTGTAGTGCATAATAACCCCATGCCAGGATCCATAGTAGGGTTTAGAAATGATCTGATGAAGATAATGACATCCGACCAGCATCAACTTCGAAAGTCTAAACTCAAATGTTTACTAACCCGGTTATGATCTCGCCGCCATTAATGCGACATTTTGGCTCGATCGATCATCAACGAATACACGCTTCTTGTCCGCCATCGATGTCCAGTCTTTAAATCGTTATCGTTGAGAAATGTGGCAACTCGCGGATCTAATAATTGCTTAATTTAAGCGTCACAGCGTCTGGCACGAAAAA